TTGTATTTGTTCACAAGGTCATTCTATCGACCATAGAACGTACAAAACGATCCTTTAAACGAGACTGCTGATATTCTTGTTTCAGCAACTTGTTTGCCAACAATTTACCTCGTTTTAGAAATTTTTCACACAAAGAGCAGACTCTTGTGTATCTAATCAACTGAAATACATAAACCCTATATGCAGGTGATGACGGTATATTGCTGCATAAGTAATGGAAGCTGACAATTGAAAAGTTAGTCATCTTATTTGTCATAGAGATTGGCTATTAAATTACCGTTTACGTCCTTTTCAAGCAAAATATCTAAGTATGAAACAGATATGTCAGACTCGGTGGCATCTTGTTTTAATCTCACCATGTATGTGTTTGAAGTGAAAGTGAAAAAAAGAATACAGCTCCCACGAAGATTGATGTTAATTTATTTGGAACAGTGTTATCCAGAAAAAGCCGAAATGAACCTTTTTAATTAAAGTAGTTTGTATATGAAAATCATAATAAATTACGAAGGTTGGATAGTATTGTACAGTGTAATTTGGGTTTTTTTTACTATGTTTTATAATTAAGAAAGGCCATACGTTGTCAGGAAACAGAAATTAAAAGTATTTTATTTCAAGGGGGAAATATTTGGATATAAATATATAGTCATTTTCAATAAAGAATGTACTCAAGCTCAAATCAATCAGTCGAATTTTTATCATTTCATTTTATGTTCCTCTGTTATTAATGCAAAACCGAAGCCAAGTCAACTGAGCTAGTTTTTTGATGGATTAAATAACAACTGTAGTGAAAGTGAAAAAATATCATTTATTGAAGTAAATGACGCAAAACAAAAATATAAACATATTATAAGGGGGTCAGACAAGACTAGAAAAAACTTCGAAAGAATACAAAAATCTTTGGTATCATATTATGCAATCTGACCCCCTAAAATTAAATATAGCAATAAAGCAGGCACTGATATGCCTGTCATCAAAAAAGGGTGGGATAAAAGAAAATAAACGCCAAACATATAAGAATGAACACTAATACATGCACATATATAACAAGTATAATCTAAGACGGTGGAAGAAAGGGGGATGGATGGAGGGTTTTTTCGACGAAAACTTCCCTTGCAAATTTGCGTGGCTTTCTCCTTTGGTAAATAAAAAGAATGATCACGTGATTAGGAGAAGCCACGCTGAATGGCTTTAAATTAAGACAATTGTGTCATAGATTAAAAATAGGCAATTGATCCCGATCTAAATAGTTTTTAAACACCAAACAACTTTACGACAATTACCAAATAGTTTTTAAACACCAAACACCTTTACAATAATTGCCAAGTAAAAACATGTCGCATCAGAAATAAATTATAGCAAATAAAACCAAATAAAACAATTACAGTTCCTTAACTGTGTCACATAAAGGATATTATTATTGTAATAACAATAACTTATTTCTGTTGGTATTTAATTTTATAAAGGTAAGTTTTTTTTGTCTGAGATGCCTTAAATTTCTTGTTTCTTCTTTATAACTTAATTTGATTAATTATCTAAAACAGTACTAGTGCGATATAGGTAGTATTCTGCACTAGACTCTCAGAATAAATAGTTGATCATTACTTTGCGGGGTTTATTCCGATTGTGGAACGTTGAGACCAGTCTTTGGGGTGAGACCGTATAAACCAAGGTCCCGTGTCATTTTTACTGGCATTAAAAGAATTCTCACTGCTCAATGGCCCTGCGTTTCACGCATAGGTCAAAATTTGCAACTCTTCGCCTGCAATTGGTAGAAGAGTTTCTAATGACGGAGTCAGTTGCAGCCAATAGAAGAACGGACGATAGAATGAAACATTTTGATTGGTACATTTTCAAAAACGTGAAATGAGTTTAGCTTCACTAATGCATAGCTTCAACGATATTTTGTACGGTGTAAAATTGCTGGTTCGAACTGACTTATAAATAATTATTGACAGGTACTATTATCAATACGAATGGAACTCGTAAATTTAGCCACCATATAACTGATGATTTGAAATTAATTTTGTTAAAAAACATTCTGATTTTATACACAAGTACTCTGAAGTTGATATTAAAAGAACTGATTGGGTTTTTGTTTTCAATACTAGTATGATTTTGAGACAATTGATGTACTTAAATGATGAGTTAAAGCTCTTTCTTTGAACAGCATGGACAGAATGTATCTTTACAGTTAAATGGATTCAAAATGCATCCAGTTCATTTTTCTTTTTTTTTCTTTAACAGAGACGCATGTGGTTAATTTTACTCATCAAAAGCAATCTAAAATCAACCTTCCCTCGAAAACTTCATGATTCTAAGGCAATTTGTTTGAAAATAATTTTCATGAATTTAATATCTTTAATCATAGACCAACTGAAATAAAATGAATACTTCTGGAAAGGTATATTTATATGTGATCTTCAAAGAAAAAAGTCAGATATAAATTTCATTCATATTTTTTCATAACATATTCAGGAAGATTCCCAACACACAATTTGGTTTCAGTGTCACTTGAGGAAATATAAAAATGTTTTAGCATTCAGTATAGACAAAATGACGCATGTTTATTTGATGTATGTTCTGTACATTTTGTCCGTTTTGTGTGTCTTCTTTTTCACTTTGAGGTAGAAAAAAGCCAAGAATTTATTTCAAAATCACTGGACACTAACGATAAGAACACCTCCAAAGCACTCAATGATCTTTCTGAATAGAAAACAGCATTAGAAAATTCTATGAAGCAGAATGCTAGACTCACAAATGATATCCTTGACCTTCAATGCAGATCAATGCGAGAAAATTTATCATTCTACGGCGTAGGTGAGGCACCAAAAGGGGAGCAAGAAAATTATTAAGTCATTGTTAAGAGAATATGCTCTGTCAATTTAGAACTAGAGGATGACATTCTAATAGAAAGGGCACACAGAATCGGCATAAGAAACAATGAAAAACCACGCCCTATTGTAGCAAAATTCACCAGATTTCCCCAGCGGGAACTCATTCGGAAAAACGCCTTCAAACTTAAAGAAACAGACCTTTCGATCGGTGAACAATTCCCAAAAGAAATACAAGAACGGAGGAAGGGCTTGTACCCCATTTATAAGAAGGCCAAGGAAGATGAAAAAAGGCATCCCTTGTTAAAGACTAACTTTACATTGATGGAAAGTTATACATTGATGCTGGATCTGAAACACCGGAGTACGAGTATCCTAAATCAGAGGGGGTTGCAAGAGGATTCAGAAGAGGTGGCCAGAGGTGGCAGGGGAAAATAGAGGTGTCAGGAGAGCCAAGATGCATTACGAATCATAGGATGGAATTTACACGGAGGTTTTGACAATAAATGGAAAGATAACAATTTGAGACACTTTTTGTGTACGTATGACATACTTTGCCTATCTGAATGCTGCATTGAAAATGATTATAAAATCGACGATCCGTTTCCTAGGAAAACCAGAACTATGCATGGTGGGGGAACTATACTGTATAAGAAATGACTGTATTCCATACATTTCTTTTATTGAAGCTGTGTATGATACGATTATATGGCTAAAGGTAGATAAAGATTTTTGTAAACACAATAATGATATTTACATTGCATTTACATATATCCCCCCTTATAATTCTGTATTTTTCAAAGAGAATGAAATTAATTTGTTTATTGAATTAGAAAAGCTATTAAGCTTTTATATGTTGGTTGGTGATGTTTTTATATTTGGTGACTTCAACAGTAGAACAAAATCTTTGCCTGATTTTATCATGAATGATGAGTTACATGCTTCGGTGAACAACACACTACAATACAGAACTGACGATCAGCTGATTGGAAGGTCAACCCAGATCTAGGTCACAATGAATACGGAAACCGGTTACTGTCGTTATGTAAAGCCATAGGTGTGTGCATTGTGAACGGTCGGCATAGTGGTGGACATTCCAGTGACTTTACTTTCAGTGGTGCTCGTGGTCTTAGTACAATAGATTATTTACTGACCACAACTGATATGTTTGATTTTATTAGTAAATTTATTGTCTGTAATTTCACTACATTTTCAGACCATGCACCTTTACATATTGAACTGAGATGCTCTTTGTCTATGGATGCCTCTGAGAACACTAATTCGGATGTTTATAAAACCCGTAGTATTTACAAATGGGATCCAACATATAGTGAAGCATGCAAAGACTTCTTCAATTCATTAAATGATATATACAGTCATGTGGATTTTAATGAAATTTCTACACAAAATGATCAAGACAATTGTATTGCAAAAATTACTGATATGATCAATGTTGATGTTGGCAGTTTTTTTCGTGTAAATACTGCTCATTTCCCTAGAACTTATGGCAGAAGGTCAAAACGCTCCACTTTCTTAAGTTCAGATGATAAGCCCTGGTTTGATAAAAACTTAAAATCCCGTTATAGAGATTATATTGTAGCTTTACGTACATTCAATAGCTGTAAAAATATACAAAATCACTCGGATTTGATTACAAGAAAGAAGAAACAAACAAAAAACGCATTTACAAGAAAGAAGAAACAAAGCTTAATAGATTATACAAACAAGCAAAAGGAAATAGGTTAAACATATTGAAGAAAAATAATCCCAAACAATTTTTTGCCTAATTTAATAGAAGAACGAAATCAACTCCAAAAGTATCATTATTTAGAAACTTTTTTGAAATATTTTCCAAACTGTACATATGGAGAGGCATATCACTGAAACCTTAATTTACCAGGAAAGAAAAGAGATGTATATATAATATCCAATCAGGCTTTCATAAAAAATTCCACAATAGGAAAAAATAATTGTTACTTGCTTAAGACATAAGAGGATTTCTGATTTTTTAAAATTAATTTATCATTATAAATTAAATCAAACAAATGCTGGAGAAAGAAAAGAAATTGATAAATAACAGTATTCTGTCAGTGATTAGTAATTTGAGCTTCAGAGTATGGTCATTTTCAATAAAAAGAAAACCCTACAAATGTAGTATGATGCCACTGACCTCCCTTTGATGAGGCCTCAAGACTTTGGATAACACTGGATCCACCACTACATGAACTGGCTGCTTGTCCCTGTAAATACACACAGAAACATAAAGATTCTAGATACAGATTTCCTTTACAGAGATGGACATGAACTTTTTTTCTCACTTGTTCATCATGCAAATACATGTATTTATGTCTCTTAAATTATTCAAGGACTTTAATTGAAAAGAAGTTTGAAATTAGAAAAAAAATGATTATTTTTGGATTGGGAATGGGTCCAGCAACACAGGTCTCAAAACATGCCATATTATTATATTGAGTTCACAATATACATTCATAGTAAGAATATGCTAAAATGCTGATTCATGTCTTAATAAATAATCTACAAAATTGACTTTTGATAATTTTAGCAAATTATACAGACATGCAATCATTACCAAATAGTTTACTTACAAATCAGCCTTTAGTTGTTCATGGGCAGATAACTCAGGAGGAGAGTAGAGAATTAATGCCCCTTCTTCATTGGGATCATGAAGAGATTGTCTTGTACCTTGTCGCCTTATTCCAAGTGCTCTACCAGCAAGTGGTCCTTAAAACAAAATATGCTGAATTTGTACTCTCCAATATTTAGGATGGTATCCTTGTATTACTGTGTAAGTGGAATTTTTAGCGAGATGCAACTTTAGCGATTTGTCCTTAAAATCTGGTAATTTATTTTTAGCGAGATGTTATTTTCGCAATTTTAAAATGCACATTTAAGATGCTATTACAAATAAAAACGCAATTAATTCTTAGCGATATTCAATTTTAGCAATCTCGGCACCCTAGCTAATAATGCCAAAATTAAATCCTCGCTAAAAATTTTACTTATACGGTATTATTTACTGAAAAATTCTATGAAGAAGTGACAAAGTTTGTCTGTCTAAAAAATATATTTTGTATAAATGCATTCAATGGTATCATGATGCTGAAGGTTTTAAAACTTACTTTAAGGAAACACACACATTTATACTGACCTTTGTAATTAGGTATAGGGACCTTAAATGGCTTGGATAATATCTTCCTGATAAATTCTTCCTATCAATTTTTAAGAAAATCACAGAACAATTTTATTTATAAAGAAAAATATTAAATGTATGGAAATATAAGAAAGAGAAACAAATATAGTAAATAAATGTTTAATGATAATTCTGATACAAATTCACATTTATTCCTCTATTTCAGATAAATTTACTCTTAAATCAATGAAAATTGAATACAAGGGTTGCTAAATCTGTTCTTGACTTTAGACACCTGTGTGACTTACATGAACCCTTGCATCTGGATAATTGACTGAGGGTATGTTGGTGATTGTTGACAAGGGTTGCCTTTCATCTCTGTCATTTCATCTTCATAGCGAGGTCTCTTCACCTGTAATTTAAAGAAAATTAACATAACTTGACACATACAGAGATAGATGTGTATCTTGAATTTTTCCAAAATCTTTAAAACTAACACAGAAAATCATGTATTCTGAAACATAAAAGAAAAGAGTGTTTAATTGTAATAAATAATACCCACCGCAGGTTTAATTTTCTCTTGTACATGTCGGGGGAATGAAACGGGTACCGTAAGCCTCTGGCTAGGGGCCTGACTTCTTCTCTGTTAAAATAATAATAAAAAAAACATGAAAACTTCTCCCGATGTGTCATAATTATTTTTATTATATAGTCTATTCATATTCCCAATATAATCTATACAAGTGCTAACAGTTCATAACACTACATATTCACTGGATTTGAGGCCGTATTCACCGGGGGGTAATTGACTAATTGCGCGTGCAGCTGCATTGTGACGTCATAATCAATACCTCAAACAACGTTGTAAACAATGGTTGCAACGGCCGCAGCGAGCTACGTATCTGAGCAGGAAAAATATTATACAAACCTATTTCAGGATTATTTTTAAACATTTGGACGTCTTACAAGGCGAAACTCGGAAAGGATAACAGGGAGGTGACAAATTGTAATCTTGGCATTTTGTCCAACGACGGAAGTTCGTAAATGAAAGTGCTGTAGTCATTCAGTCTTCAATGTCTTATTTATTCGAATCCTGGACTATATATACAATTATGGACTCTTTTGGTATTGAATATGGTTTGTTATTCACCAGAAACATATCCATATTGACCTCGGCTTCGCCTCGGTCAATATGAATATTTTTCTGGTGAATAACAAACCATATTCAACACCAAAAGAGTCCATAATTGTATAATAAATCATATACATGTTGTTTTAGTATTCTGAATATGATTTTTATCAAATTATTATTACACTTTTGGAGCAAGCCCCTGTGAAAAAGACTACCTCTTAAAGAATTGATGGAGACAGAAAACAGAAAGTAAGCTTTTCTTGTTTACTGTTACAAAGAGTGTGGTTTTATCATTTAATTCTAAAATATAGCCTGAATTCTGTATTGCAGGTTGCAATTAACATCTCTGAGAAATAAACCTGGCTGTCCACAGTCTATCATTTCTAAGATATAGGTCTAAATTGTTTTTATTTATAAGGCAAGAATCTCATAGTAAATCAAAAAGAGAAGAAACTGCTTTAGTTCACATAGGTGAAACTAAATCCATTGATAGCATAATCATATTGCATAATTTAAGGGGGATGTCCGGCCACCTTAGGGGCTTTAGTGCAGTAAGAACAAAATGTAAACATTTCTTCAAATGGCTAAAATACATTATATTTTGATCAAATTTTAAGTCCTTATGATAAAAATACAATAAATATTAGGGATGGCAACGAATAGTCGACCATTCGACTGTCAGTCGAATGGACCGACGATCGAATAATGAAACAACATTCGAATAAGAAAAGGGGATGATAATGAAATTTTCACCTCAGAATTGAAAAAGGGTCCATCCTCAAACTATGCAGCTGTAAAGTGTACATCTTCAGACGAATAAGAGCTCAAACACAGTCGCAGTGTATAAATAATTTTCCACAGTTATTACATACCGCGATAATCATTTCTCAATCACTGATTTTTTTGTTATTGTACGTAGTAAATTATACAACGCTATACTGGACTATGAAAATTATTTAATTGACTTGTACCAATTATATTTATAAATTCTAGTAATTTCAGATGCTTAGGAACACACAATATTTGCATAACCGTGAAGGTGGAAAGTTTGATATATAATTATTAAACCAATAATCTTGCTTAAAAGACATTTTGATATATAGCTTGGGCAATCATTAATTGAACAAACGGTATTTAACATTTTTATCGGAGGTTTGGATAGTGTGTGTTTACACTTCCCCATTTCCAATTTCTTTGAAATTTCCAATTTAATTACACAGCTCTCGAAAAAATGTGCTTAAAAAATAATAAATGCCCCGAATAGTCGACTATCATTCGAATAATGCAATCGAATGTTTGACTAAGGAAAATTAACATTTTGACATCCCTAATAAATATGCATAAATGAATGCATGTTGTGCATATATTATCTATACTTTTGCAGAAAAATGCTTTTGATATGCTCCTTAGAACTGCGCAGCTACAGAATTCAGCAGAGCCTTGAGAAAATGTCTAAATTTTGCACCTTTAAATGGTAATTTCAAGTTCAAAACAAGGTACTGTTGTCTTCAAAATGAGTGTAAAGAACCATGAAAGTAGTTCATGGATAGCAGCACGTGGTCTACTTTTAGCACAGAATTTTATTTTCCAGACCTCTTCTTGATATGGAGGTACATAATAATCTTAAAAAGTAGAAGAGAATTACAGTTGCAAATTGTTTCAAATAATATGAACACTTTCAAAAGAGGAAATGTGCTATAGTGTGGCTTAAAGTAGTTAGTATTATTATCGAACAGTTGTGAAATAGTGTACGTATTGATATAAAAAAAAAAAATACTTAAAGTCTTTGATTCCAGGTAAGGAAAAATGAGCACCATCAAAGTTCAAAATTAAGAGTTTCTAAGTCTGACACAGATAACTCATTTTATCTATCAAAATCTTCATTATTACCAATGAAACACAAAGAAAATTAGACACATAAAATCAATATGAATGACCTTGTTTTAGCACCTACTGGTATAGTAAATAAACATTTACAATTTTCATCACATCGGAGCACCATTTGAAAAGGAATGAAATCATTCAGAGTGGGTTAGGAGATTTATGTACTGAATAAAAAACTTTTTGTCTATTTGCCCATATTGTCAAATTTACAATTTTACAGAGTCAAGAAAAAATTCAACATAATTAAGTATTTTAGACCATCTTTAAAATGACATTTGGTGGTCCTCCCAACTCAGGGAAAAGTTATTGGGTCTGTATTTATAGGTGAGAAAAATTTTTTCCTTAAAATTTAAACATATTTGTTGACGAAAAAAAAAAAGAAAAAAATATTGTGTAATGGGATGTAAAAAAAATTGAGTCGGGCCATTTCTAGGCAGGAGGTCAGGATCGAGAGAGGGCAACCATGCAAATATTTTTGTAAAAAGTGGTCTTAACAATATAAGGCTAGTACATATGTTCCATCACATACTTAGTAATGCAAAATTTCTGAAGCTTTGGCACTATTTTGAAAAACAAACATAGGATTTTCGGGGGGGTTGCCTCTCACTCTTTTTTTTTTTGCGAAGATAGACATAGACCTTTCTTTGCAAACATTGTGCTCCCTTCTAAATTTCAAAGAAACAACTCAATATATTTTATCAAACTTCATATGTTAGTGAGAGCTTACAACTTTGTCAACATAATGAGACATGATGTGTTTTTATGTCCAAACATTACTCCATACAATGTGTGGGTTATCGCAAACAATCTAGATATTTATGTGAGGTGCCTGAAGGAAATCCTAAAACTAACTAATCATTTTTCTATCTAACTGCTAAACAACAAAACAAAGAAAAGCTGGAGACCAACACCTTGAGGTTAAAATTGCGGAAGATTCTCGCGTGTGGATACCGAAAGGTATTCAATAGGGTCTGTAACTAAAGTTATAAACTTAAAAGTATAAACCAGATCACCAACACTTCGTGAGAATGCAGCAGTAAATTTATTTTGTTGACCGGTTTCGACCTGTGACGGTCGTCATCAGAACAATCAAGCATGTAAATTTATCTACTGAAGTAAAAAATGCGGATGACGTTGCTATATACACAAAAATTGCGGATGGCGTTGCTAAATACAAAATAAAATGCGGAGTGTTTTGCACATATGCGGACTTGCTTAAGAATGGTACTTTATACAAAATATACTCAATTTACGTTTCCTCTAAAGTTTTTTTCTGACTTAAGATTTAGTCAGTAGCTAATATTATTGTTTTATGATTGATAAAAACGTCCATAAATTGTGTGGATTATTATTCTTCTGTGGCATCATCAAGCTGTTTCGGTAGACTGTGACGTCACAATGGAAAAAAATACGGATGGTTTGTTCATGTATATATAGAGTGCGTAAAATTATACAAATGGACATTAGATTACATTTCCTATAAATGTTGGGATAACATAAAATGTAATTTGGTTTCATAAATTGCTACTTCTGAATAGTTCTATTTTATGGAGGATAATAATTGTTCGTAAAAATACATTAAAATAATTAATTAATTAATAATTGAGTATATTTTGTATAAAGTACCATTCTTAAGCAAGTCCGCATATGTGCAAAACACTCCGCATTTTATTTTGTATTTAGCAACGCCATCCGCAATTTTTGTGTATATAGCAACGTCATCCGCATTTTTTACTTCAGTAGATAAATTTACATGCTTGATTGTTCTGATGACGACCGTCACAGGTCGAAACCGGTCAACAAAATAAATTTACTAACTGCTAAACAAAATAGACATATTTACCAACTTTTCGAATGTAATACATGTAATTACAATTTGTTTTTCATGCACTGCATATTGTTTAACATTTTCAAATTAAAAGCTAAGCATCCTCCTTGCAGAGCCCCATTTGAAAATAACTTTTATCGCCAAAGAAAAGAGACCGGTCGTAAACACATATGTTTATGACATTTTTATCTTTTTTCTTGAGTTTTAAAGAAACCAACGAATTATCAAGACTTGT